CACAAGACAATGCCTACCTAGATGCTAGCCTAGCCCAGCGCTCATCGGACCTCGGCTCGGTATACGTTACCACTAGGAGGCCAAGCTAGGTATAGGCCTAGATAGATAGGGCCTAGGGAGGTAGGCTAGGCTTAGTAGTAGTACTACTACTACTAGGCCTACTAGGCTAGTTTACCTTGAATGAAGTCACTTCACTCACTGGCCTACAGTACTACTACTAGGCCTACCTAGGCCCTACTAGGCTAGGACCTAGTACTACTACTACCGAAGAAGAAAGGGCCAAGGCCTCCTAGCTGTTGTGGAGGAAAATAGTGAAAACTTTGAGTTGTAATATTTTACCTGTCATAACTGGCCATCTGTGCGTTTACCAATCTTTTTACTTCGCTACATTTACTACAACATAGGAGGACCACTCCTCCACACTCCCTGGCCTACACTAAACTGGATGGGTCTAAACTAGCCTAGTCCGCCTCCCTCTTGAGCTCGAGCGTTGTTGTTACTCGGGATTGTGCAACTTCATATCAGAGCTGTATTTTGGTCATCGTTGGTCATGATTTCCTGAACCACATGAAACCAGAGATTGAGAACATGCTCCCTGTTCTAACGTTTTGTCCTATAAAAATCAAATTAGTATCGGAGTATGTAAAAATAGTAAAAAGCAGACGAGCAAAACCCATTATTTACAATTAGTTGTAAACACATAGCCTAATAGAAAAATTTTGGTAACTTTAAATAAAATTATATACAGTATGTGGTGGTATGGGGTCATTCAAGTATTATGTAACGCAGAGGGGGATGGGGGTATATAGTGGAAAATGTTACAGTGTGTGACATAGGGGTGGGGGTGTTGCTTGAAGTGTTACATAACAAAATTAATTTTCATGGGAAGAGAAGAAATATTAAATATTCAAACTTGTATGATATTACCGTACTCGCGCGAATAAGCGCCCGGGCGCTTAAAATATTTTTTTGCACTTTCTGAGGGACGCTCATTCAAACGGGGCGCTTATTTAAACGGGACGCTTATGAAAACAGAGTGGAAATTGAGGGGGCGCTTATGGAAATAGATGAAAATCGAGAGGTTCTTATGGGAAATTATTAAATTCAAGAGGCACTTTTTGAATGAAAAAGACAGAACGAATGGTGGTTAGGCGGAAAAGATAATCATCGAGAGAACATGGCTCATGACAAGAATGCGTGAATATTTACATAAAAGCAAAATAGCAGATGCAATTAGTGGTGGTGGATAGTGGTTAGCTTGTTGGCCATCGGCCGATTGAGATTAGCAGGATGGCAGGATCATTGTATTTTCTCTTGAAAACTCAGATGAGAATGTGTTAAAGGTCGGAAAAAGAAAAAGAGGAGTAGGACTAGGTATAGACAAG